ACAGGGACATGGCTAACGTGTGCATTTAAGTGCACATAATAAGAAAAAGCCATACATTTAGAATTTGTAGAATCTTCTTTTGGTTTAAGTTAAATGAATAACTGGGTGAAAATAACACAAAAAACAAAAGGTTTTATAAACAAAAAGTTTTATGGTCAAAAATTAAACAAGAGTACTGCTTTTCCAGCCACATTTACAGTATTTATTGGATTCTATGCCACAAATTGGACTGATTTGAAGATTAATTGATTTTAGGTTGATTAATGCAGTCAGTATTCTTGATTTTTTAACAAATTAGATCCTTACTTTGGATTACGTTTTGCCGTTTCTAACAATGATCAATTTGTGAAGACATTGGGAAGTCAGAAATTACAATATTCGGAATTTAGTTATAATTAAATGTCTGTGGAAGATTGAATTTGTGCAATAATAAACACCAAAGCTTTATTAACCAGCCAAATCTACAAACCTGGGAATGTGTGAATTCAAACAAAACAGCCCAATATTTCTTCCTTTTTTTCCCCATTCAAAGATTGAAATAAAAAAGAGCAAAAATAATGAGAATTTTCTGTTGAATCCAAACCTATTTCCTCTTTTTCAGACGCCGGAGCAGACGCCACGATGGAGGATGTTATTTACGCCACCTGCCACAGCTCATATCGCGTTTCCTCATTGGCCAATCTCCAATGGGCCTTGAACCTTTCCTTGGCAAACAACAGCAGCTGCATTCAGAGCGTGGGGTTACGCTGCGCAGGAGGGAGGTTCCCCACAGTCCTCTACAAAAGTCTAATTGGATTTCCAAATTGATTTAGTTGTGGAGGAGCGGGGGTTGTCAAGCTCGAAGGAAGGCGGGCGATAGAGATGTGAGATTTTATTAACGGTAAAAAACACACATTTTTAAGTCCGACAAAGTCAAGCTGATCTCAAACCCATGGCACTGCAAGCATCACGTATGGTCCGAGCGTGTAAATAAATGTGATGCTAAAACCTGGGAGTGGAATCGTGATGGAATAGATTAAGAATTCTCAAAGTCTACTCACAGAGAGACAGCCTCAAGGTGTAGAAGGAACGAGATCAGAGGAGTCCAAACCGTTTAGTAAGAGGGCTGCTTTATATAAGAAAAAAATAAACATAAAATAAAACTAGCCACAAATGACTTGATTCTAGTTTAAAAACATACATTTCAAGTATTATTTAATCATTTCTTTAACATTTTCTAAACACTAAAAGTCTGGAAATGAAAAAAAACTCACTGCTCAGACTTTTCTCTCAAATAAGATTAGGAAGTATCTGAAAACTAGAAAAAAAAACTTGTGACAAATCAGCAAAATGTCAAAATATACAACAAAAACTCAACTAAAAAGCTGAATTCTAAAAGGTGCAAAGCTTTCCAAAGAGGTACAACACGGTTATATTGGACACACTGAAGTTGGCTGGATGACACTGTAAAATATCTCCATCTTTGGCCTGGTTCAACAGTTGGTAAATTTTAACTGAACACCACCATTTCTTTTAATGGCATACAGCAAAAAATTATGAATTGTGTTGAGTTTGATGAAAACATTTCAGCAAAAAAGACAAATTCAGGTGGTTCTATTTGACTTAGATGCGGACGCAAGATTGGACTTGTGTGTGTGGATTTCAAATTGGTATCGCTGCCCATGAGCCATTAACAGCTTATTAACCTCGCTTGCTCGGTCTGTACAGAGAAATATCAGACCGCGGCCAAGGTCTGATATTAAGATAAGAATTCCTTTATTCGTCCCACAGTGGGGAAATTTCGATTGTTTTTTTATTTATTTTTTTATTTTTTTATTTCTCTGTACAGACCGAGCAATTTTTCTGTACAGACCGAGCAAGCGAGGTTAATAAATGTTTTATTATATGACTATTTTTAATCTGTGCAAATATCGATCGGTTTCAACTAACGCTAGCAAAAGCACATGGAACCAAACTGTCAAACTGTGACATGAAGAAATTATCAGATGATTGAGGTCGCCCGCTGTAAGTTCTCAATCTGTGTCTTTACCAATGCTTTTTAGATGTTTGTGAAGTATGTTCATGTCCGACTTGGTTTTCCTAATCGAGTTTTTACCTGTCTGGTCTGTAACGAAGTTGTCAATCTCTTCTTGACTGTTAGGAGTTGTGTTTTCGTGGTTATTTGCTGTTATTACTTCCTCTGGATCTTCAAACTCGTCCGGATAATAGAATTCACTGGAGAATGCTCCCAGTCGTCACTCATTATTTCTTTTTTACCGAGGAAAGATATCAAATCTGATACGCGCTGTGGACCAATTGTCATGGTAACGGACCGAGATGGGAAAATATCAGACCGCAAATCAGCCAATCAGAGCGCGCGAACGATCCAAGTCATATAATAAAATGCATATCTGAATGGACCTGGACTCGGAATCTGCCAATGTTTGACAAAGAAACACGATACACATCCAGATAGAATTTCACTACAATTCCACTGAGAGCTCCCAGCCTCCAGTTGTTCCAATCCAGGCATATTCAAGATTAATCTCAATGAGCCCGACCAAAATTAAGACATTGTCCCAAAACAAATATTCAATACAAATCTCTATAGAGTCAAAAATAGACTTCTGTGTCCCTTAATTTTACAACTTTTGTTAAACTTTAGGTCATAAAAGCAAATCTGTGGATAGTTACCAGTGAAGAATAAGGAAACACATTTACAAAATGAGCACAGATTTTGGTTTGAAAAGAGACCACTTTATTTACCGCACTATAAAAAGAAAAAGAGATAAACTGCATTAATTTTAGAAAGAACTGGAATCCCATGAAAAGATCTGCCTCACAGATGTTGGCTGAGTTTGGCATCTATTCAAAGACATATAAGTCCCTAAAAAATCTATTTCGTCTCAGTTCTGTCGCAATTTTGATGTGATAATCTTATACATGTTCCGTGTCGTCTCTTTGGACGTAGACGAAAGCTGAAGCCAAAGTAAGGTCATTTTAATCCAGTATTGCATAAGAAACTATATCAACAGCAGATATTACGGAATGTCCGAGTGAAATCCAGAGAGAATCAATTATTTTTTTCTGCATCTGTAAAATTATATGTATTAAGGCATTGCATCAGTGTTTCCCAGCCCCCTGGTGGTTTGTGTGGGTACTGCAGGTGGCACTACTAAGTCATATTGAGAGTAAGCGGTAATGTGGGTCTCTGTGGCATGTTATATATGTTAAAGATCATTCATAAGTCATTAAATTAAAACCAAAACAGGTCGGGATCCTCTGCATCATATCACGGCAGCAGTTGTTCACTTAACTCCTGTTTACAGCGACAGTAGCTCAGTTGGTAGAGCATTGGCCTTTGGGCCCAAAGGTTGTGGGTTTGAGCCCACCACGGGACCTTCTCCACCGACTCCCACTGATGCCTGCTGTTGTTGTGTCCTTGGGCAAGACACTTAACCCACCTTAGCCTATAAGGAGCGTGGATATGATGTTCGCTGCATGCATTGATGTGTATATGTATATGTATATGTATGTACTATATGTGTATGCATCCAACTGAAATTTCCCGTTTGTGGGACGAATAAAGGACCTTCTTCTTCTTCTTCTCTTAATCTGGAAAATCTAGAGACCCTGTAAAAGTTTGCATTTTTAAATAGTCGTACAAATGTTTAGTAACAAAGTCCCCGGTACAGGGACCGCCCCGGGGCCCGGTACAGGGACCGCCCCGGGGCCCGGTACAGGGATCGCCCCGGGGCCCGGTACCTCTGTGTTTCCGTCCGGATTGTGGGCGTCGCGTCCGACCTCTTGTTAATAAAGTACAGTCTGTATTTCACTGATTGGCCAAATGCGTGGGTCTGGATTGGTTATTGTCGACAAAAGTCATTTCCACCCGGACAATATTATTGTTGGAACAATAGAGGCTGATTACACACGGCTCCTCCAAGATAAGTGTGTTTGATGAAGAGTAAAGCAATAAAGAAGCAGTGTTTACTCAGAGTAATGTGTGTGTTCGGGAACGAGGCGAGAATTACAGCCACGGAGATTAAGTCCTGCACTTTTTAAAGACACTGCTGCAAAGTGGAAGTAGTTCTATGTCTGTGGGAGTCCGCTGGAGTTTGTGACATCATCTGTTTGTCTCTGTTAATGTAACAAAAGGGAAAGATGACATTTAAAGGTCTATGGATCTATTGGTCTAATCTGTCAAAATAATGAGAATTTCTGTCAATTTTAGTTTTATACAGTTCTTTTTTTAGGCTCAAAGTCTCTTCACATCATTGTTCTTTCTCTCCAAACACGATGATAATAAACTACTACTGCAGCCACAGCTGCCCTGGGGCACATTGACAGAAGCAAGGTAACCAGTCTGTGCCATTGGCCCCTCCCACCACCACACCATACTCATTCTAATGTGGGAGAAGCGTCTTACATAAGGACACAACCACAGTTTGGCACTTTATAGCCGCAGCCGCCGCACTGTGGCACCTGCTGTTCCCACAGGTCTCCCATCACAGCACTAACCAGGCCCTGCCCTGCTTAGCTTCAGAGGTCAGACAGGATCTAGTCTTACACTGGTCATGGCTGGATTTTCTAGTGTTTCCACTCTTCCAACTCTCGGTTACGTACATTTTTAACTAAAATGCTCAAAATACATCAATTGTTCTTGTGATTATGAAAACAGGGGGAGGCAGTGTTTCAGATGTTTGTGTGTAAAGTCTGAAACAGTCTTCCTGAAAGTGTGAGACAGACTTCTACTCAGACGCTGTTCAAATCCATATTAATGTCATTTCTGTTTAGGACTGCAGTGCCACTCTTTTTAACGCAATGTGAGTATTTATAACTATTATACATATTTACTTGTTTTGTTGAAGACTTTGAGTCGCCTTGTGTTAGAACTGTGCCCTACAAATAAACTTGCCTTGCCTATCAATGCTATTTAGAATCTCAAATTAGTCTCCAGTCATGACACTAGTTTTAATAATTAACTTAAAATGTTTTCCGGGACCCGGTTGGCACAGGCTTTAGACAGGTCTCTGTCCGCAGTAATCTGAAGTCATAGGAATCATTGATGTTCTGGAATCTTCTCTCTGTGAGCTGGGAAAGCCTGAAACACAGATGAGCTCTGACGGGAGACGCTGCTCCGGCTCCAGACTGTTGGAGTATTTTCTCTCCCGGTTTCTGCTCTTCTCCCGCTGCTGCTCGCTGATGGGGAGGGCGGTCGAGTTCGGGCATCGACAGGGCGCTGGACAGGGGACACGGGGAGGTCGTTTGGTCATTTGGCAGTTACCATGGCGATGAGGGGGGAGTGGGGGGTGGTGGAGGGAGTGAGGGGTGAGTGTCCTGCCAGGGACCAATGTAGAATGAAGACCTGGCTCCAGAGCTGTCAAGTGGACACGACACAGAGAGATGTGCCAAAGAGGATTAACCAGCAGGAAGTGTGTGTGTGTGTGTGTGTGTGTGTGTGTGTGTGTGTGTGTGTGTGTGTGTGTGTGTGTGTGTGTGTGTGTGTGTGTGTGTGTGTGTGTGTGTGTGTGTGTGTATGTGTGTGTGTGTCTGTGTGAGTGTGTGTGTGCGTGCATGCTTTTGTGTGCGTGCTTTATCGTGTGCTTGTGTGTGTGTGTGAGAGTGTGTGTGAGTGCGATTGTGTGGGTGTGTGTGTGTGTGTCTGTGCGATTGTGTTTCTGGTGTGTGTGCGATTGTGTCTGTGTAAGTATGTGTGTGTGCGATTGTGCGTGTGTTTTTTATTGTGTGCTTGTGTGTGTGTGTGTGTGCGATTGTGTGTCTGGTGTGTGTGTGCGCGATTGTGTGTGTGTGTGTGCGTTAGGACTGAACCAAAACAGCGTCTATTCGTCCCAGGGTTAGCTTTCCCTCGTCTCATTTTGCAGTTCAAACCAAGGCTGTTGTCCTGGTGTTGTGAACGGTGTTGTTTGAAGTTGATAAAAAAGACTAAATTAGCAGGTCTTGTTATGATTCTCAAATCATTAACGACAAAACAAGGAATAAAACCAGGATTTCTATCTTTGTGCGAAAGGTGTTGGTTTTTGTTGTTGACAAAACTCTATTCAGCTGTTATGGTCCCAGCAGGATTCGTCTGCATATCTGGCAACCTGAGTCAGGGGGAGTGGGAGAGGCTGCAGTGGCAAGAGCTACACTGAGGGAGTCTTGCACAGTTTTTCCAATGTGGTTTTACTGCAAATGGCAAATGAAATGTTTAAATCTTGTAGTACCACTTTATGCCACATTTTTACATACTGCTTCTTTAAGGAACGAGAATAAGTCAATTATAAACACAGACTTCAGCTGTCTCTTGTCTATGTAAAAACGTCTCAGTAAAACTCTTCTGTCTGGATCTTCCTTTCAGACCTTTTTACAGACTCCACATAATTTCCATTCCTTCGTCTCGGGTCGTTTTGCTTTTGTGACTGAAAGTGTGGATTTTGCTTCCTGCTGACTCGGGTCCATCTTATCTCGGTCTCTCGGTCTCTCGGCTCATGTCTGTGTGAAAGGGTGAGTGTCTGTGATCTCTGCTGGTCCATCCCCACCACTGCTCCGCCGGCCCATCCATCACTGCCCGGCACAGACCCGACACAGACCCGGTACGAACGCAAAGATTCTTTTTTCCTCCTTCTCTCTCAACAACTTTGATCTTATTGCTCCTACCGTGCAATCATGTCTCCACATTCACTCGGGAACACACTTGGAGCGTATCGGAAACCAGACAGACAGACGGAGGAGCGGGAACTTTGTATGTTCAGATAGAGACATGTTTGTACTTAATAGTTTTGGATTTATAGATTTAATGTATTAGTCCTGGTCTCGGGCCTCTGCACCTGTGGCTCAGAGAATAGACTGTAAATCAGCTCTGGTTGTTACAAGTCTCTGCAGTCCAGAGACCAAAGTCCATACATGTTGTAAGTAATGTTTAGTAAGTAATATTTATTTGTATAGCTAATTTTACAGCCCAAGGTTATACCCAAAGCGCTTTACAATGTTCATACACAGGCAACTCAAAGTGCTCAACAAAACATGATGGAGAAATTCACACAAGGCATTCAAATCATTAATAATTGCCATGCTTTGAAAAAGAAGAGTCAAATAAAGATAAAATCCTTCAGTTCACGGCTAAAAATATCTGTTTTAAACCTGGATTTGTTGAATGTTGAGTGTCCTGGGTCATCGCCACTGTCCTTACAGGAAAGGAAACACTCTAATAACTATCAAAAAGACTGGACTTTGATATAATTATTGCCTCTTCTCTTCTGCATTAACCAATATCACCACAACATTAAACTTGTCCATTTGAAAAGTCAAAGCTCTTGGGTTAAAGTCAAAACTTGCCTTTCTAAAGCCTCCCTCCGCAGTCTCCCCTCCCTCTCTGCCCTCTCTCTCCACTGCTTAACAAACTTCAAACACCTGTAGTTGCCAACGCTCGTGAAACCACTTCTAGATACCGTTGGTAAAAAGCAGAGCCGAGGAGAGGAAAGTGGCAACACACGCCGCTTATCTGGCAACTCATCGCATGCTGCAATATTGGTCTGACAAGAGAAAGAATGCACCTGTGGTAGGAGGAGGCGATAAGGAAACACGAGCCTTAAAATGGCAGCTGATAACACACAATACTCACTTTTTTATTTCCCGCTCCACTCAACCAGCCCCGTGTGTGGAATTTAGAAATGTACTTTTATTTGTGCAAGACAAAAGTCAGATAAGATGCAGGTGTTAGCCATATCCCAGATCACAGCATGTTTATCTCACTTAGCAATTGTTATTATTATTTTTCTCTGGAGAATTTCTGTTTTTAAAGAGGTTTTTATACAGAGAGAGCTTGAATATCAATGTTTCAGAAAAATCTACACATGTCGTGAAAAGTTATAACATTCTCTCATTGCACATAATTTGCAGTTGTCCAGGGGCCCCCATCACTGTCACTGGCTCTGACCCGGGGGCCCCCATCACTAGAGAGAGACCAGAGAGACCAGAGAGACACCAGAGAGAGAGAGATCAGAGAAAGACCAGAGAGAGACCAGAGAGAAACCAGATAGGGACAAGAGAGACCAGAGAGAGACCAGAGAGAGACCAGAGAGAGACCAGAGAGAGACCAGAGAGAAACCAGATAGAGACCAGAGAGAGAGACTAGAGAGACCAGAGAGAGACCCCTGAGAGAGAGACCAGAGAGAGGGATCAGAGAGACACCAGAGGGAGACCAGAGATAAAGACCAACGAGAGAGATCAAGGAGAGACCAGAAAGAGACCAGAGAGAGAGAAACCAGAGTCTAGATTCTGGGGAATAAAGTAAGGAATCTATGGGAGGCCCACATTTACTGTTTTTCCAGAGCTCAGACATTACCCTCAAACCCACGGCTCTTTTTGCCTCAGATTCCAGTGAAACTAATAACCCTGATGTGAAAACCCTCTGTTTCCTTCGTGTAATTTTCCTGAAACACGTTGTAAAAAAAAACATTTTCTCCCGCTCTGCATACACCGCCGCACACGTCTTCATTACCACATCTCCTCGACGCAGCTTCCCCCCCATTAGTTGCTTTGTCTAAATGATAGGCTTTCACTTCTGGTCCGCCGCCACGGTGGCCCCAGCGCTGTCATCCAATCAGACGCCAATTTATTTTAATGTGCAAATGTGTAGAATTACAGCTTCAATCACTTTCCGTTGAGCGCCACCGTTTTCTGGGCACAAACCGAGCCAATGGGGGACAGCAGTAATTAGCACGCCGTCTGATGTCCAAAGTAAATAATAGGCTGAGGTTCTGCGCTGTCTCCCGGCGCCAAAAGGGGGTTAAAACAAATGGAGCAGCTTGTTGTTTTTCCGAAAAGAAGGGCACGGGCAGAGCTTAGCGACTCACTCATCTTGGCGTGTGTTGGAGTCCGTGCGATCGACGGTGTTTGTTTGGTTTCGCTCTGGTTCCCAGCGCTAACGTCGAGCTGCTGTGTGTTCTGTTGTGATAATGTGGAGACTAGGAGGAGATGCAGAGCTCTGAGGGAATGGGAGAGGAATGTGGAGTTTATGATTATAGACAGGGTAGAGTGGTAGGTGTGTGTAAAAGTGAGTGTCTAACTTTAAAACCACAGAAATGTAACTGTAAATGCAAATTCATCCTCAAATCCATCCTCCATCCTTTACGGCTGTGTTTTCAGACCAAGAGACAACCACTTTCAGCCCAACGACCAATCAGCAGTCTCCTTTTCACTTTTCAAACCCTAAGTAGTATTCAACCACTCAAGCTTTACAAAGACATCATACACATTCACAAGCAATATACAACATATTTGGTGAAACAACTTTGTCTATAATGTGCCAAAGCTCATGCCTGTATCTTTGTGTATCTTTGAGTTTCTTTGTGTATGAATTATGCCATAAAAATACACTTGCCTTGAAGAATAATCTGCTGCAAACCACACTTTATTTCATAGACCATCAGTGATGGGAATAACGGCGTTACTAGTAACGGCGTTACTAACGCCGTTACTTTTTTCAGTAACGAGTAATCTAACTAATTACTTTGACAGTAACTATAACGCCGTTATCATTTCCGACATCCCGTTACTGCGCGTTACTCAAGACGCACAATGAACGTGTTGTCATGAGAGAAGGGAGGATGAGAAAACCTCTCAGCAATTATTGGCTGATGTAAATCATATTTCCTTTACAATCTACATGTCTACAGTTGAGAGGATGGCTCATAAATTGTGTTTTTGAAAGAAATATGGGTCTTAATCGCGCTCAACCACGGCTTGTATCACCGTGAGGCCAGCCTCAGAGGAGCGCATGTGAGCGCAGAAGTCGGCTGCATACAATTCCATCGATAAGCTCCTTGCTCTTCCTGGTTTATCTGCTAAGGACAGCAACAGGTTTGGCTAACATACATATAACACATTTTTACATAATCTAAAATGCACATAGGGTAATTTTTCAATTACTATAGGAATGATAAGAAAGAGAGGTGAAGTGTAAGACGGTTGATTTTAGAAATTGGATGCAGCCGGCTGCAGCAAAACAGAGGAGTTTACGGAGGACACACGCGTTTTGTTTTACTTTTTAAAACTCATTGGACTCATTTCCAAATGGAGGATTACATATCTACGCTCAAACCATTCACTGGATTTAAACAAGGAACTGGTCTGAACCGAAGTGGACTGTGCAGGTCATTTATAAGGTATAGCTATAAGGTAAGACCTATAACTCATAGTTTTGCGTTTTGTATGAACAAACAATGCGGGCATAAAACATATTTTGCTGTAGCCAAACAAATTGTCCACTTGA